TTCTCTAATATTTTGAATGAATAACGCAGCAGCGGCGCGTCTCATGGGCTAGAGTCTAGACTAACAAAAGACTAACACTTACATCATTATCACCGCATCTCACGCGCCATTGTAATGACGCTCCCTGATGCACACCTAACATTCAAGTGCAAATGTTTATTTTAAATTAGACTAATATTCATTCTTTATTTACAGTCTCCTCATCACAGGCAGGCACACCACTCAATTCAGCATGTGTTCATGTTTGTGTGTGCTGTCTGCGTCACTCATAGCTCGTGCCTATATCGTGCCCTATATCGAACATTTTTTCTATCGTTATTGAAGAAGGTGTACCGTCGATAAATATCGATACCGTTTTATCGCCCAGGCCTAATCGAGGGTTTAAAATTATCATTTGAAATGGATATGCCAACCAACAAGAATTGTGTATAAAAACCGGCCTAATTTGTCAGTAAGTCTTCTAATGAGATGTTATTTCTTCTCTCGAGGCGTCTTGGGATTGAAGTTAAAGACTTTGGTCCTAGTTGGCGCAGCGGTTTGGCCTTCCATTCTGTTATTCATGCCATTCGGCCAGACCTTGTGGACATGGACATAGTGAGAAAAAGAAGTAATCGTGAGAACCTTGAAGAGGCTTTCAGCGTGGCAGAGAACGAACTGGGAATACCACGTTTACTAGATCCTGAAGGTAATGATACGGCTTATTTTACTCCAAAATCTCTTCAATTTCCCTTGAGATAAGCCATGTCGACTTACAAAGTAGCACCATGGTGTTAGCATGGTTTTTGCAAATGGTTCTTTGAGAATTCCATGTTTTTTAGATATGTACAATGTTAATATAATGGCATTCTTTTAAATTACCTTTGATTACCACGCAGGTACCATGGTATAATATAACTAAAACTATAAAAAAAAAATTGTTACTTGAAATAAAGCCAAAATTAACTGAAATGAAAAAAAAAACTATGCACCAAGAGCTTGTAACACTCCAAAGAGAAAGGAAAAATTGAAATCGCATAATATGACCCCTTTAACGTTTTTATTATTAATAAACTTTTATTATTTCAGCTGGCTGCCAAGGCAACATTACTCATTTTAATTTAGTTTAACTTGATGTAGTAAATTAACTAAAACTTAAACTAAAATGTATAAAAATATATAGACATATATAAAGAAAAAAAAAAAAACTAATAAAAATGACAAAAACAACAAAATTACTAAAGCTTTAACTAAAATTAAGATGAAATATAAAAACAAAACTAATTTACAATATTAATAAAAACTGTAATAATATAATAATTATAGTAAAAGTATAGTGTATAGTATAGTAAAGCAATAAGCCCCAAGAAGCCGTGGTTTACAGTGAATTTATAACAGCTAAGGGGCGTTGTTAGGCACGACGTGAAGCGGAGTCGCCTTCACAGGGCTTATTGCTTTTATAAAACGGTTATTCCATATATATAGTAAGGTTTCACAAAATAAAACAGAGCAAATAAAGTGTAATGATATTAATAAAAACAGTATTCTTCCACCAAACAATTCTTCCTCAGAAACAGTTGTGGTTACAATAAAGTGGTTGCCAAGCAACACACAAAGTAAACAAAGGTGTATGTTTGTAGAGTAATTTACAACAGCTTCGAACGCGGCTCAACCAATCAGATCAAGGACCGGAACTATCCGTTTTAAAATATGTGGTATAACCATCTAATACCATGAATGTATCGCCAATACTAATGTTGTGTGGTTAATAATGTAGATTCTGTCAATGATCTGTTGTGCTTTTGAAGAGCCACTCATTTGTTTTGAGTTTGATTTGAATAGACACTGCTTAATTATACTGGAGATCCACCATTATCAAGCCTCATTATAGACGGACGCTGTTATAGTTTGTAGGTCATGCTGCTATTCAAGCATGTCATCAGGCCAGATCAGACAGAGACTAGCATGACATCATGATGTGATATGGCAGAAGCCCTTTGAAGAGGCTATAAAAAGCCTCATTTGGCTCTTCAGGTCAGTGGATCATCTAATATGACAGTCACCTGATGATGCACGGTAAAACTCAAACAAAAGCTAAATGCATGCATAGATACATAAACAGCACAATGGTAATATCTCAAGGATTTCCACTTGTGGGGTTCAAATCTATAACTTTGTTTTATTGCAGATGTGGATGTGGACAAGCCTGATGAGAAGTCCATAATGACATACGTAGCTCAGTTCCTGAAGCACTATCCAGATCCCCACCAGTCCGAGACAGATGGACAGCAAGAGGAGGTACGCTTTAGTGCTTATGCTCATGTATAAGCTAAAAATACACTAGCTGCTTGCTGTTGTTATTTAATGCAGTCACTGCTGTAGTGCTTCCTCATCAGTCACTAACCATTACTGTAGTCCATCACAATGTGGAATCCATTCAAGAATCATTTTACTTTAGAATCACGCCCATAGTGCATTGCTCTGTGTGCTCACTCTGTCTCTGTGTCTGTATCACTCGCCATGCGCATTCGTAGCTGGTTCGTTCCATTCCTACGTTCGCTTTCTCTATCCCAGCTCTACAGGTAAGAGTCGATTATGTCTCATCTGCATGAGGTTCATTTAGTGCATGGGACATTCTCAAGAAACGATGCCATATGTGCTAGAAAAGTTTAGGAAACATTATTACAACATAGTTACCGTAACTTTGTAAATTACAGAAACATACATATGCTTATAATAAAATATAATGAATAATTGATCATATAAATACTTATCAATAAATCACATTGAATAATTGAAAATAATATTAATATCCAATGATACTGCTTATTCAAAACCGATTTTGTCCAAAACATGTTACATTTAAAAGGATTTGGGGTTAAAGATCTGTGCAAACATTTATAATAATATTTATATTAAATACGTTTTAGTCAGAAAACATCATTGCACACACATTGTTTACTTTTTCAAATGTATTTTTTGTTAAAGGGAGAAATGCCGCAGCATAAGAACATAAAGTGCATGAACAACAAATATTTTTATTTATACATATTGATATTTACATATAGGCAGTGGAAGCATAATCTTTTTGTTAGATTTAGATTTTTTAGAAGTTAGATTTTTTTTATTCTAAATAAAATGGAAAATAAGCAAATATACTGTACATTGACAGATGAAAAGCAAACATTTCAAAATAAAAACAAACTATTTAAAATTTTGTTTTGCAGTATACACTTAACTACACTAAAATCTGGTTATTTATATGATGATTAATTTCTGAAGACAATTGTAACACAAATGTCACCGCTTGCTGAGAATGGCCTGGTGGTGGTGGATACTCTCTGCTTGTTTCCTCTCTTTCTCTGGCTTTTATCTTGCTAACGTCTTGAATGTGTTGTGTTTGCATCTCTTGATGTGCCTTTGCTCTCCTGGACAGTATGATCCACAAGATATAGAGCTAATGCTTGAGGTATGTGTATATTAATACATAGGGTCATAACAGCTCCGTATTATGTGTAACAAACTACAAAATAGTGGAGATCTTCTTCACTCTTCTTTGGGATTGGACTCTCTCCTCTTTTTCATTGTTTCACACTGCTGTGTTACCTGCTTTGGGTTCTTGTTACAAGGGTTTCTTGCTGAATACCTGCTAAGCGAGTGATAAATCATTGTTTCTTTCTGTCTGATGTGCACAGCGAGAGGAACGCAAGGTGCTAAGGGAGGTGAAGATCTGGCTGGATCAGCTAGAGAGAGATATACTGCGTGCACAGGGATCTGAAGAGAGTCTCACCGACAGATATCAGGTGAACAAGACAGTTTTCCATGATCTTTAGGCTGCTTTTAAGATTTCAATATGCAAATGAGCTCTGTTATGATTGGCTAAACTCTTTGCATTTGAAATGAGTTGTGAGTTTGCTTTCAGGTCAGATGTAATTATTTCTCCTCCATTCTTCTTTTTTGACTGCAGGCTTTTAAGAGTTTCCGTGTGCAGTATGAGATGAGAAAGAAACAGATCGAGTCTCTCCTGCAGCCGGTACACAAGGATGGCAAGCTGTCCGTGGACCAGGCCGTGGTCAAACAGGCCTGGGATCATGTGTCTGTCAGGGTACGTGCTTCACCAAATGTAATTAACGTGCTTGTTTTTTCTATGGAATGTAAAGAGATGTTTCATGCTATTTTTATGCAATGAAAATGAATAGACAACATTATGCACCGAAAATGACAGAAAAAGTATAGTAGTCTATAGTAGGCTTGTGCTCTATATTCTAAGACTTTATGATGGCTTTGTGTGAGGAACAGATTGATATTCCTCGTCACTGCAGCTCTTGTATAATCTCAAGTTTTGTCCGTGATACTAAATGGCTTCGTTGTTGTTGTGTGTGCCATATAACTCGTATATTCATTTTAGAGCTTCTCGTATATTCATTTTAGAACATATAGAACTTCTAGTGGATTCATTTTGGCAAATTAATACTTCAACTTAAGCTGGAGATTGCAAATATATTTGTCTTTTTTGTACACCAGTCCACTATTATGTTGATTATGTTTGAAAATAGTTTTTACTTCAGAGTTTAACTCTGAACTGTTACTGCAGTGCTTCTCTAGCTGTCATTAGCTGTAATGAAGTGTGAATTGGAGCGTAGACCATAGATACAGGGTTCATTACTGAGGAAAGAGGACAGACACACAGAGACGGTTTTGTTTAATGGAACAGAGAAGTCCACAGAGCGGACACCGCAATCTGGCTAGACACTTGAAAGCTTGAAGGGTCGTCACAGACAGCGAACGGCTTTCAAAACAGATCTCTACTTTTGATATTTGCGATGCTTTTGTGTGGCTTGCGCAGCTCTTAGACTGGCACATCCATCTGGATAAGTCTTTGCCGGACCCTCTGGGAGTGATCGGAGCCTGGCTGCATCGGGCAGAACTTTCCCTGAGAGAAGACATTCCCATTCAACAGGCCCACGAAGAGACGGCCAACATCATCCTCAGAAAACTGGAACAGCACAAGGTAGGGACAAGAACTTTTTTTTCTTTCTTAAGGGAATTGCTCTGATCACTGTGCTGCTAAAATTAAAAACAATGTCTGTGCTTTCTGTGCAGGAGGTTTTGAAGAATTTGGAAGGACACCGACAGACATTTCAACAGATTCACAGAGACCGATCAGTAAACGGCGTCCCAGTTCCACCAGAGCAGCTTCAGGACATGGCAGAAAGGTTAAATCTGATTACCTTAAGTTTCATTTAACTGTTTAAAGGGGACATGAAATGGCATTTGCAATGCATTTAATGTATGTTATGTGATGTACAATCACATACATAACAATGGCAATTTAAAGTATTAAACAACTGCACTGTTCGTGCTATAGACTTGAATGGATGCCATCAAATGACTGACTTGAGTCACCTAGCAACCATCCAGGGGTGCGTTTCCCAACAACAACTATGGTCGCAAGTTCCGTCGTTACCAATCGAGTACAATGGAACTAACGACCATAGTTAGATAATGATGCTTTTGGGAAACGCACCCCAGAACAACTTAGCAACTACCTAGACCACACCAGGCAACCACATAGCAACACCCTAGCAATCACCCAGAGCACCCCAGACAATCACATAGCAACACCCTAGCAACCACCCAGAACATCTCGGAAAACCACATAGCAACACCAGACAATGACATAGCAACGCCCTAGCAACCACCCAGAACGCCCCAGGCACATCACATAGCAGTGTCCTAGCAACCACCCAGAACACCCCAGACAGTCACATAGCAACACCCTAGAAACCACCCAGAACACCCCAAGCAACCACATTGCAACACCCTAGCAACCACCCAGAACACCCCAAACAGTCACATAGCAACACCCTAGAAACCACCCAGAACACCCCAGGCAACCACATTGCAACACCCTAGCAACCACCCAGCACACCCCAGGCAACCACATTGCAACACCCTAGCAACCACCCAGCACACCCCAGGCAACCACATTGCAACACCCTAGCAACCACCCAGCACACCCCAGGCAATCACATATCAACACCCTGGCAACCACCCAGAATGCCCCAGACAATGACATAGCAACACCCTAGCAACCACCCAGCACACCCCAGACAACCTCATAGCAACACCCTAGCAACCACCCAGAACACCCCAGGCAACCACATAGCAACACCCTATCAAACACCCCTAGCAACCAAATAATAATACCCTAGCAACCACCCAGAACAATCTAGCATCATGTTGGTGAGTTTTATCAAATTAAAAAATCATACAATATTATTTTAATATTATTTTTCTGATGCATATGAACGTGGTTACATCCATAGAAAAGAAAGTATTTTCAGAGATTATTAAATTTTGAGGAGAACAAGCTAATAATAATAAATCATGCAGAATAAGACCAGCAACATTTATTAATAGATTATTATTTTATATTAACTTTAATGTTGACGTTATAGACTGTAATTATAGAAGCTACGAGCTCAAAATCCCAAATCCCATGAGTTACTGCTATATTTACTAATATGTCATGTTTCCGCAGGTTTAATTTTGTGTCCACGTCGTCTCACATCCATCTGATTAAGAATGAGTTCTGGGAGATGAAGTACCGTCTCATGGCGTTTCTAATGCTGGCTGAGTCAAAGCTCAAATCCTGGATCATTAAATATGGCCGTCGGGACTCAGTGGAGCTTCTTCTGCAAAATTATATTGTACGTCCTCCAGCGTATTTAATAAACTCTTTTAATCTGCTTTATAAAAACTGATTCAGCTGACATATTATGAAACATCTTTCCATTACTGTCCTCTTTTACACACAGGCGTTCATTGAAGGCCATAAGTTCTTTGAGCAGTATGAAACCACGTTCCAGACTCTGAAACAAGCTGCAGACTCCTACTTGAAATCTGGGGCTTCGGGTAAGATACATCACACTTTTAATGCATTATTCCCCTGAGGCTGGAGATTCATGCAGCTTTTTATAATCGTTCCCTGGCAGCGATTCTGAACTCTAGCAGCTGAAATGAGCCTATTGCTTTGTGATCAGGCAGCCTCATTCTGTCACACGTTCTTGATACCTTCATTAGTGCTGTGGAGTAATATTATTTCTTAGAAAATTATATTTGACACGCTCAATCTGATGGTATTCTTTGACATTGTGTGGTAATATTAAAGGGGTCATATGATGCTTTTTAAAATATCATTATTTTGTGTACGCTGCTTCAACACTAACTGCGGTTACAGAAACCACGCCTTCTTTCTTTGCGTGCACATTTGGGCGGCGTTATGCAAATATTTCCACATAGTGAGGTAGATATGTGGGGGCGTGTTAGAACGAGCTGTTTTAGGGGGGCGTGGCAGAGTCTTAACTTTGATAAAGAATATCTCTTTGGTTTTGAGACTTTAGTCTTTGCAACTTCAGGGATCTTATCTATGCACAATCAGCTTGTAACACTCCAAAGAGAAAGGAAAACTTGAAATCGCATCATATGACCCCTTTAATATAAATACTAAATATATGCTGGGTGAATGCATAGAATGTATTGAATATATAGAATGGATGAATGTCACAAATGAAATCTCCTGGTCATATTTCACTCCAAAATCAAGAGGGAAAAAAGACATTGCATTTTGCATAATGAAATTAAGTTTTCTTGCATTGTCACATTATTTTCATGACAATAAAGCACATTTTCCCCCACCTATCTGGACAAGGTATTTTTATTTTATTTATTTATTTACTTAAAAAAAATAAAATATCATTATTGTATTATGAACATACACCACTGAAAGTTTAGGATCAATAAGATTTTTTTTTAAAGAAATTAAGGTTTTAATTTAGCAAGGATGCATTAAACTGATCAAAGATGAGAGTAAAGACTTTGACATTCTTACAACAAATTGTTTCAAATAAATCCTGTTCTTTTGAACTTTCTTATATAATATTATAAGAAATATATATATAATTATTATAAGAAATATATATAACTTATATAAAATAATCCTGAAAAAAAATTAAAGTACATATATATCACCAAATCAGCAAATTAGAATGATTTCTGAAAGACTGGAGTAATGATGCTGAAAATTCAGCTTTGCATCACATAAATGAATTACATTTATAGAAAACAGTTATTTTAAATTATGATAACATTTCACAATATTACTGTTTTAATATATATTTTTGATTAAATAAGTAGCATACGAGACATTAAAAATAGGGGTAAATGTGTTTTAATGTAATAAAAAATAATGTGACAAAAAACCCTCCCCCCAAAATAATATTGAAATTATATAAAAATATAGCCTATTTTTATGCAAAATATAATTTCTTATTTTTATTCTTTTGAAAATGGCAAGAAACATGACCTGGATGTGTTATTGATAGGTTTTAGGACTCAATACAAAGGTGCCATGTCGAGTGTAGTAATGCGGTTTAACTGTTTCATATTCCAGGCAGTAAAACCCCCAAGAGAGGTGAGTTTAGAGGAACCAGAATACTCGGTAACATAGTGACTGCCCTAGTAGAAAAGTAATATATTTAAAATACATTTATTTCATTCTAAGTATAGTTCAAATGTGTTAACATATTTACTGACATATCGCTTGAGACTTTTTGATTATTGATCAATTATAATTCAACTTTATTTGGAGTACTACTTGTGCACAATGCACATTTCTTAATATTAAGCCTAAAATGTGTTTTAATGTCACTTTTGATGAGGACTGTATGAATAATACCAGTCTTTAAATGCAAGATATTTAAAGTGCGCTTAAAGTATATTTGCAATAGTTCCACTTTAGCACAATCAAATATACTTCATTATACCTTTAGTGTGACTTCAGCACAATTAATGTACATGAAGTACAAAATTAGTTGTCCCAATTTAGCAGACTTTAAAGTCCCCATGAAATCAAAATGAAAGTTTTTAGTATCAATATGTTAGTCTTAAGGTTATCTATAAGGCAGTGTGCTCCAAAACAGTGACAAAATTCGCATTGGATGAGATTGTGGCTGCCTGGCATACCCTGTCAAATGCGGCTTTACGGAGCTCAACGGCTCTGAACGGCTCTAGCCCAAGCTGTGATATAAACTAACACTATTGGCTATTTTAAAAGGGGGCGGGGCTTCCTGTTTCAGTTCAAATGACGTCAACACATAGAGTAACGCTGCGTGTTTCTAAGCATTTCAGGGGACCTTTAAGTATACCAGTTTAGCATTCCAAAAGGTTATTTTTATGTAAATGTATTTGTAGTATACTTAGCATGAAATAAATGTATTTCAAATACATTTTAGTATGTTTATTTTTCACTAGGGTGTTTAGATCACATGGTTGTTCTTGACTGAAGTGTGTAACATCACAATACAGTGATTTCACTTCTGCTAACCCCTTCTGTCAGTTCACTTAGCGTAGCTGATAGTCTAATCCAGTGTTTCCCAACCTTTTTTTAGTCGCGGCACCCTTTGGAAATTTTAACAAACTTGTG